ATATATATATATAATATGCGCTTATATATTATATATATATAATATATAAGCGCCATGAAGCGTCACAATTGGCGCTTTTGCATTTGATAACTATGCAGAAATGTCTTTGCTTGCGTTTCAATAAAGCGAACCCCCTCCCCAGTGTCTAGGAAGACGGTGAAAGAAGCTTTTTTCTGGTGTAACAGAAGTCGAAAACAGTCAAGTCTTCCGATTGGGTGCTACTTCTGCTATAACTTTGTTCTTCTGCTGTACTGGACAGCACGACTGTGACAGTCCACTGAGTGAAAAATTTCCCATAAAATGTTTTTTTAGAATGGTAAGTTTCATCTTACCACTGGTAAGTTTCTTCCTACCCTTCGAATAGTAAGTTTCATCTTACTCTTCGCTTTTTAGCAAAGTCAACTGAATTCTTCTAGAAACCTTTTCTCTGTTGCCGAGGATTTCCTGTGTGCCGCTTTCTGAGAGTGTAAACAACTTTTGTTCTGCCAGACTTTGCCGAACTTGTATTTGACACTTCGAAATGACCAGAATCAACTGCAAAAAAAATACCAACAAAAATTTCTGTCTTGCAGAACAACGCAAGATATAAGCAGAACTACAAACATATTTCAGCGGAAAGTACTTCCACTTGGCTATTAAGCTTCCACCGAAGTCCCGCGCCATGTGCCTAGTGGATCTCAGACGCACACTTCTTGCAGCCATAGAAATGTTAACAGCCTCCGAGCACGACAAAACGCGGCAAGGGCGAGCTCTGGCAACAGCCCACTGCAAGCCAAGGAAGCATTTTGGCCAGCTGATAATGCATGACACACTCCGATGCTTATTACCAGGAATCACTTTACACGGAAGGCTGACCAGTTTGAATTTGAGGATGCAGCTGAGAACCAAATCAAAACGTTACTGAACACGTCCGCTTTTGCCTCAAGCACGCAAATAACGACTGAATTCGTGAGCCAATGAGGCATCTTCAGCCAGTGGCTGAAACCGAGCATCACCGCAGACGCTATTTTGGCCATCACAGAGACAAAGAGTTACGATTAGATCTGGTAAAAAAAGTTCCACAAAGGTTTTGAAAACCAACCGCGTTAAACGCAAAGATCGCTTACTATTGGAGGAAGTCGTAGCAACATTTGAAAGATCAATACTTTAACTGTACCAAAATTTGAAAGCGAATAAATGCTAAGAGAACGCTTAGCTTGAATTGTTACTTCGAATTAATTTATAGCTGTTGCTTCATCACTGTGTGTCTTCACATCAACAATGTAGCTGTCAGTTTTTCCGCGGCTTTACTAGCCGAGCCTGTACTCTTGCTTGTGATCCTGACTTTCGTTCCATTTCTTGTTCTTTTGCAGAAGTATGCCTTCACCGCTTGTGTGGTCGTCCAGTTCACCTATTAGCCGGCTTTCTAATAGCCCTTCCATAATAGCCATCTCTTCAGAAGGAAATGTTCTAGGAATTAACCGAATAGGAGTACATAAGGCGCAGAGAATTCGATACCAAACTGTAATTGAGGTGCTTCTCAAAAGAACGCTTGCGCGAAAAAAGAACTGTAATGAACGTTTTTAAACGGGATGAATGAACACACCATCAGATTCCGTTCGAAGAGAACCATCAACACAAAATTCAGTGAAGCGCTCGTCTAATTTACCCGTTTCGCTTTCCGGCACGACATCCTCATCAAGTACAAACAAGTCTTCAGTTACTGAAAGTACACAATGAATGAATTTCACACTTGGCCGAAGCTGCTGATCGCTACCGGCTATGCAGATCAACTGAACTTCTAAAAATATTCAGAAAAAAGAACGCACTATCGTCCGCTCCTTCATAACTGCTGTCATCTTCATCACTGAAACTTAAACTGCCAGGAGACCGCACAAATGCTTCGTCTAACTCGATTTTCTAAAAGTACAAAAAAAAAAAAGACTTAACGGACAGTAGCAACACACTGACTGGTAGTATTATTTAACTCGCTTTACAAGAAATGCGGGTCGCGTACCTCCACGTTCTCACATTCTTCATCAATTATCTACAAGTGAAGGGCCACAATCATCCGTGCAGAATCTAGTAACTTGCACGTAGAATATTAAAAGCTGGAGACTGACTATGTATAAAAAAGATCACCTGTGCTGCAGACGTCTGTGTATTCGCTTTAATTGCACTGCTCATAATTTACGGTCTCCTGGCAAAAAAAGAATCCAGTAATAATCCTAGCACCGCCCTGCTGCCCACGTTTGAGCCTCACACCTGGAACAGTCAAAATCACTAGGACTCAATTCGACAGACATTACAAACGCATCGCTGATTTAAACAGTACAGTTTCAGTAGGACTTTTTATGCAAACACGTCTAAAATTCATGGACAATGAATGAAATGAATTCGGACTCCCCCCCCACTAAAGCATACTCATTATTCCTCCTTTCCCCAAACCCAAACATACAAAATTAAAAAAAAAAAAAGTCCTGATTTTCAGATGCTGAAATCATACCAAATTATGCAAAAAATTGCATTCCCAAATTGGAACAGAAGTGCACATCACAGAGCCAAAGCGGATCCCAGTACATGAAAAGCAGAAATTCGGATCTCAGCTTACTTCATTTTGTACTTGTAACGTTGCATGGCCTTTTTCTTCCAACCAATTTTCAGCTGAACTGAATAGCGATAACTCCCTAAATTTGGTGCTCCCTGAACCTGATGAGTTCAGTGTTAATGTCACTATTGCCGACAGCCTTTCCACTTTTCATTTGGAAGGCTGCTCTGAGAAAACCAGGAAATGACTGCTATTTGCTGTCGTTAATTAGAGGCTGCGGACTGCTGGTAAGTACTGCTAACAGATTCGCAAAGAATTTTCAGAATTTCCTAAATTCATGCAGAATTTTCCACATTCTCCAAGTTTATTGGATTCGTAACCCAATGACGTTTTCGTTTTTAGTGCCGCATTGTGAGTTTATATAGCAACAGTTCTGTGCCGTACTTATACTGCACTTCTTTTGAATCAACACTGCACTGTTATATATAAGGAAGTGTAGAAATCTCTGAGAGTTCGCGCTTTCTCCCAGTACTTCCCAGAATAAATTGTTTAAAAAAAACATGAACGGCACAATCGCTTTTTCAAAATACCGATAACAAACGATCCAAACAATCCATTTCATACTAGTCGAACCACCAATTATGATTAAGCCCTTCTTCGCTGGTCGTCCGTAGCTAAGACCGTGAGCAGCCCTACAGTATTCCAATTTCGTCCCCCATTTGACAGTCGTGTTTCATTCTTCGCGCTCAGCTCTTTGTTAAATATATTTATTTGCAAATATGTCCCTAGCAGGTCCGTTTGCGCCCCCCAAATATAGCTCAAAGACGAGAGAAATACGAAATTTCGTACGAATCGGTTCAAAAATGTGCCGAAACTAAAGTGAAATTTCTGCATATATAAAAAAAGAGTTTCGCTGTCTTGTAAAAAAACCCATTTTAAAAGAATTGAATCTTAGACGAAGAATGTGACATTTTTATGGATGTACAAAGTAAAATAATTAACTATCTTCCACTAAAACCGACATTAACTAGCATTCCAGAAGCGAACCCTGCCGACACAAGGGCCAACAAATAGCTACTCACTCTTGCAGACAGGGACAGGTAAATTTTATGAAGTGCTTTCGGCGCGGCGCAGAAACTGTAGCGCACCAGGAGGAGTGGCCGATGCAAAAAACGCCATCTCAAGACATAATATCGGAAGCGTAGACTGATCAAATCGTTAATACACTGAGTCAAACTGAAATTTGACGAGCTGCAAAGGAGTCACTTGCAGGAAAAATCGAAAGTAACTGTGCATTAATCACTCGGATCATTTCTCCATAGACAGGCAGGCATTGGCGGATCCAGAACGAGGGGGGCGAGGGGTAGCAGTTG